CCCCAAAACCCCAAAACCCCAAAACCCCAAGAGCTATTTCTAAACATAGAAACTAGAGGTAATAGAAATTTTTAATATTGAGTAGAAATTTAAATATTTGAAATTATGTCAGAGCAAGTATTCGACGAGGCCTTTGAATCTACAAGAGAAGGTCTTAAACACAACGATAATTACGACAATAATTAGAACTCTTCAAATAATGAGGAGGTGCCTTCAAGGTATAGTGTGGTGTCTTAAAATCAGGAGCTTATGGACAACGTTCAAACAAATACTGATCTTACTGTCATTCATCCTGGAGATGATGACACTGTTAATATCATTCTGACTATTTAACAGAAATCTTTTTTGCCTTATATTCTGCTTGTTGAAAAAGAACTTATTGATCCAAAGGAATTCGTAATAGACAAATAAACCGGGTCTAGAGGTCTGCATTATGCAGCTCACTTTGGCAACATAAAGGCTTTAAAAGCTTTAATTGAGACTTATCAACAAGATCCATTTATGAATGACCTCTATGATATGAACATTAGTCATTATGGAGCTAGAATGGATAACTTGAATATTCTTTTGTACTGTGACAGATTAGATAGGAAACTGTTCAACACCTTTGATGTTTTTGGAAACAACGCTCTTCATTACTCTTTCTTCGGGGGACATGTCTAATCCTTTATCTACTTGTACTTTGGGGTTGGCAGTCAGTTTAACAATCTAGAGGAGAAATTTCCCTCAATGTTGCAAACATTGATGTTATCTAATCAAGGTAGAGAGATAATAATGATCATTAGCCACATCCCTAAGTTCAGATCAATGCTGCTCAAGTATGGTATGAATATAGCAATTAGAACACAGAATTTCTAGACAATTAAAGTATTATTCAGACTTTTTGAGGGAAGTATAACCGCCCAAGATTATCAGGAAAACTTACTGTCTTTAATGGAATGTAGATAAGAAGCTAAGGAGTATTTCCACAAGCGCATTTCCAAGTATAGTCTTGAATTCCCTGAGAAAAAGTTAGTGGTCGAGCTAAATAATATTTTCCGTAGCCAAGAGTTGAAGCATATGTGGGCAAGTGCATCTCACATTCTCGCACCATTCGTTGTTTTACTAATTAGCGTATTATATATTGCAGCTTTCATATTAAACGGCAATATCCAGATTAAGGTGCATTTAATAGCTAATACACCCGTTACATATTTAGTAGCTTTTGTTCTATGGACTCTGTCAATGATAAGCATGATTAAGTTCATGAATACTTAGCCCGGCTTCGTAGAAAAGAAGGATATTTAGGATTCTAATAACATTGTTGAGAAGTTAGCATAGATTTATTAGAAAAACGGGAAGCAAACTCAGAGTGTGCTCAATCAATGCTGCTTTTTGTGCTTAGAACATAAAGGGACTCATTAAGACCATTGCTTTAAATGCCGTAAATGTGTGAGATATGCCCAGAAGCATTCTGTATTTTTCAACTAGTGTGTTGGAGAAGAGAACATGCTTTCATATACTCTGTTCATTCTCCTAAACTTTATTGTCCTAGGAATCATTATATTCAATCATTTGTGTGATACCAAAGAAAGATAAACACTCTAGTCCTCTCACTGGATTCTGCAATTCTTTGAAATTCATGTGAGACCAGTTATCAACCTCAGACCATTCTTCTTTATTCCTTTATTTGTCGCTGAGATCATGATACTTTACGTTGGTGATAAGTTGTTAGAACTATTCTGCGCTATCTAGAGAGGCATTACAGTTAGACAGCTTAGAAAGATCTATGCATATGACTACAATCTTGTCTTCCTCAAGATTGTTATGGGCAAGAAACAAGAAAGCGGTCAGTACTTCATCAATCCAGTTGGCTTTTTTAGTTTGGTTACAAACACCCTCAAGTTCTTCTTTGGAATGGTGAAATAACATAAAGAATAGAAAGAGTGGTTGAAAGATATCAGAAGCAGCAAACAGGTGAATATGAGTGAAATCGAATTGTAGGAGTTAGATACCACAGGCAGTAATTACAATATGAAATAATTTGCCAAAATGAATGATGATTGAAAGAAAAACGAATTGATTAATAGAATCAAGATAGAAACAGAGATATAAATGGATGAATGAGCAGATTTTGAGCATTCTGAATGCAAAACAAAATAAAGATGATTCTTAATATAGTCCTTAGTATAACTTTACAATAAGTTAGAAAATCTGATTGCTCAGTCTTCATTTAGTTTATTAGTTCTATCATTTAACTTTGTAATTCAATAATTGTAATTTTATAGACAATAAATAATCCCTCCAAAATAATCAAAATTTGGAAAATAGGGGTTTTGGGGTTTTGGGGG